CATGATGGCAAGAAGAAACAGCAGCCAAGTTGTGCTTTGGGACTGCTGACAGGACCCCAGGCTGAAAGGGTTTGGTAAAGGTGGTGCTGAAGAGCTCTTTCTATCATGTAGTATTAGCATCAGAACTTCTGGTGGGCTCTGCCACAGGGCCCTGAGCCTTTGAGAGTTTATGGATACACAAGGCAAAGGTCAAAGGTCTGCAGAGCGGCAGACTCTTCCGTGCAAGGTCTCTGCTCTTCCTCCACTTAAACAAGTACCAAAGACTCCCTCAGAAGTAACTGCAATGTGTCCTCCTCTTCCTCATCAAACTCTGATCACGTTGAACGTCTCACCTGTACATAACAAGTGTTGGGAGTGACCTTTGTGTCTTTCCGATGGTAATTGGACTCCCAGTTGCTGTGCCTGCAACTGGGCAGATGGCTTTTCCCCGTTTCCTCACCGAAATATTTATTGGTATGACAAGACATAGCTGTAATTCATAGGGTCGATGAATCAATGATTGTGGCTATAAATTGTTGTAAAAGGCAAATTATCTTTTTCCCTTTCGAAGTCTTGATATAGAAACAAAAGCAATATTTGTGTTTCGCCATTAAAGCCGAAGTTATACTTTGCACGTCCGTGGGTACGCGAGGGTCAGCTCAACATACGTTTTGTCATCAGAGGGAGTGAGCGCAGGTTCTGTGCGGACGTCCACGAACGACTGCGTGTCTGTGGCGTCAGCAGCCGTCATTGTACCCGTCCATTTGAGAGTATGAGCGAGGTTCACCTATTACTGACATTTCACTCTCAAATTGCATCTCACACCGAGCAGGCTGCAAGGCGGGGGGGATGAGGTATCTCTTTTCTGACGTCTCGTATCACTTCACCGCTTTACTGGGTAAGAACGGAGCAGCGCTGAAATCATCTCTTTGGCTCAAAAGTCTGAAGGCTGTTTTCAGTTCCATACAGAAACGTCAAGTTTCTCCCTACCAAATGCACACAATTCCCTACATGCCTGACGGGTGATGGAAAGACACGCCGTCTGGTGGGAGTAGTTACAAACACGGGAACAAAAGCTTCAAAGTCTCAAAAGGGAAGGCTCTCAGAAGTTTAGACAAATTCTAAATTAAGGTTGGAATGTGGAAGGCTGGTGCGATGTGGGACACTTACACCCTAACCTGATTGAAAAGACGCCTCCTTCTTGCCCTCAATTGCTGCTGCCGTCCTTCAGCCACCAATCATCATCAATCTGAGCTCAACTGTCCACACAATGCAACAGCCTCGTTAATTTAAGGATCGGGCGGTCAAAAGAGGACATTGGTAAATAGCCCGTCTTTCACAGTGTCATTGAAAATATGTCTAACAATACCGTATTCAAACGTCTCAGTGAAATATAGCAGAGACAAGGTTGCCCGAAGGAAATTAGTTATGAAAGTGGTAAGTGGTGTTTTATTAGTCCAAGGTTTTACTTTCCCTGGTGTGTCAGCTGCTGGCAATTACCTGGTGTAAGAGCAACATATCTTAACAAATTGCCACGTTGCCATAAAACTCCATATTCAGGATGAACTATATTTTTAGCCCCAAAAGCAAAAATGCAGCCTCACGGTTGTCTGCAGACCTTACACATGTAGTCATATGTTCACCTATATTTAATGCTTAAAAACTGTCTTCATGATGTCAGCTTTGATTAAACCTTTAAATAGGTAACTGCCATTAAAATGAAAACCTTCACCTGACATCACTACAACAGCAGGCGCACGGCTTAACAGCCAACATACATCCATCCATTGGAACCAGACTCAAATAAGCTTTATTGGCATGAATGATCAGATTACATCATTACCAAAGCTAAATTACTGTACGTGTTATTGAGAGTTTTACACAAGAAAACTAAATAGATAATAACTAGATAACAAATACACTCACTCTTTTTCAGATGGTATCAATCCCAAACATTTACTAGAGTTTGTAGCTGAAGTTGCTCCACTGGCCACAAAGCATGCCATTGTCAAGACAAAATACACAAAGCTTTTTTCAGCTCGTACTATGTCTCTATCTGACAATAAAGACATAATCATGATGTTGCTGTGGCTGAGTAGCACAATGGGGCATGCCCATGTCAGCACACGTACAACTGAGAGAGTACGTTGATGCAACCTCTTGCAATGGCAACAATTATCTTTGTCTAGACACCGGGCATGACAGCTCCAGCAACAAGACAAAGCACAGCTGTATCAAGTCCACTATTGTTCTCACCAGACAGTAAACCGGGTCCAAACCACAGAGGGGCAACGAGGAGAGCTTCTGAAAACTCTCTTCAAATGATAATGTTCGTCATAAGACCGACTGTTGACTGGCTTTCTTTAAGACGGCCATCCTTAAAAGCACCCTTCAAAATTCAATCCAACAATCATCCAGCACGCTCTGCTCACATCTACCCCGCAAAATGATAACTAGTAGCACCTGAAACCAACTCATAAAGCCTCCACACTCACTGTTCCGAACAGCCGAGTAGGTGGTGGGACCACTAACAGGACCTAACGTGTTTACTGGTCTGTCATCAATAATGAATGTTTGGAAAGAAAAAGAGAATCCAGTCGTTCTGGAAATAAAAAAAGATGAGAGCTTTGCAGTTCGGCTCCTTCCCATACATGCATACTTTAATCTTAATGTCGACATTCCCAGAACTCATTAGTTGGCATGACCAACAGCAGAGACACAGACCTGACTACTTTGATTACGAGGGGAATTCTACACCTAAATAAAAGATATATAGGAATATGACCGCTTTCAAAGAAGTGCCCAAAATACACAGAAGTCATTGATTATTACTTGTGGAAATTAGGTTGGCAAAACACATTCACATTTCAAATGTATGCGTCCACTTTGACTTCTAGAATATAGTATGTTTAGTAAGTGTATTAGAAATGGTACGTTTGCACAGCAGGGAGGCCTTTGAGGACAGTGGCAGCTCTTACATTGCAGGACCACTAAACAGAATGTATACACAGAAGATAATAATCCCATTTGGTATTTGTTTGATTGTTTAAATAATTGCATGTTGCAAGTCACAGGTTGCATGTTGAAGCTCGTGCCTGGCTTTAGTTTGTTGCCGATAAAGAGAGAGAAGATGCATTTCACGCATGAGAACACTGGCTGCCTCAAGAAGGCGGCAATTAATTAGATCTGCCTGTGACGAAGGTTTCATTTCAGCTTTGTAACCATAGACTGTATGTAAGGAGTGGGCGTAGTCGTCGGGACGTCACACACTAGTTTGTGGACTGCCGTTTAGAGGACTCGAGTTCGGCATTTTGACTGTCGCCATCTTTGTTTTTTTTTGCAACCAGTCAACAGAAGTGACCATGTTTAGACAGCGGAGGAGTGACGTAGCGATGCCGTATACGGCTCTGGGAGCAGTAGCGACCTGTCAATCACAATGTGGCCCCGCCCTAAATCATACCCTGCTTTATGGTTTATTTTACCCTAAATGAAACTAGAAGTTACTAAATAAACATCATGCTGTAGACTGAGACCACAAAACTCATGTTTACAATAGCATTTGTTTCACTGAGGTAATAAATCAAGTGAGAAGTCGGGTCATTTTCTCAGAGACTTCTATACATTCGGACCTTTTGCCATGTTGCCGTTTGAGAGAATGCCAGTTTAAGGAGCAGAGTCCTCCGGCTGTGAACCGATTCTAATATAGTAATAGTGACTTATAGTAAGTTACAGATATATCTGAGAGCAGTATTACAAAGTTTTCAATTGTAGCATGAAAATGTGACACTGCCATATGCCTGATGATTACTTCATAATTGCATGACGCAGATTGAATCGGATGCATTAGTCGTATCTCTTTAAAGTGTCCATTGTACAATACATATATACTTGTCAAGCAGATGAATGAGATCAGAATTTCTCAGGAGTGCCTCCTGTCAGATTACCGGCGGGGATGATGGAGCACGAGTCCAAGCGGTCTCATTACGCTGGTAATCTGAGTGGCTGACAGTCACACTCGTCGGTGTGATGTCAATATAAAGACGGGGCGGAAACGACGGGTTATGCTACAACAATCTGACATGCAAGTTGATATAATGAAACCCCCCCCCCCGCTGTCAATTCATTCAAGCATTCAATTCAGTACCTCTTTCATGCCTATTCATTCAGCCATGTATTTCTCCTTTCAAACGCTTCGCCATTCAGTCACTCATCTCTTCACTCGGTCTGATGTGGACATCTCTCTGTGTGCATTAGACCATGGAGGAGTCATAAAAATAACTCCTAAGAACTGACCTGATCCGTTGACCGCGCAACCTTGAAACTTGTGCGTGCGCGCACACACACACACACACACACACACACACACACACACACACACACACACACACACACACACACACACACACACACACACAGAGTTGTCAATTGCCTTAAAAGTGGTGGTCATGCTTGAGAACACATGGATTTCATTCACCCCGCAGCTAAATGGAACCAACACGCTTGCCCACACACGTTTCATTAAAGTGCCCTGGTAGGCTTAGTTTGGTACAGTATGAGTCAGGGGAGTAAGAGGACCTGACTGAGATGAAACACACACACACACACACACACACACACACACACACACACACACACCCAATTTAAAAAGGAGAAGGGATCGGGGATAACTTAGGGAGTTAATTAAGTAACTTTTCAAGATGAAAGTAGCTGGATTAGATGCACACAGACATGCATGTGTGTGTTAGTGATGTTAAGGTGGCTACCAACAAGGATTAATTTCATTTCAGCCAGTTCCACTCTAATCCCTTCAACCAATAAAGCAGGACTTTAAATCAACCACAGATCCTGAGACTTTTCCACTGGAATCACACCTGCGTGTACCTGATTGTACTCGGAAAAACTGTCAGATATGGCGAGTGTTTGTGAGAATCAATCTGCAATGTTATACGGGGGCCTTGGGGATTTCAAATTTGTCCCTTTGTGCCAGACGAGTAAATCCATCCCAGAAAGCTGTTGCCTACCTGTAGGTTGTGTCTCTCCAGTCTCATCTCCAGAATGTTGTTCTGCTGCTCCAAACGCTGGCGCTCTGCCTCCAAATCTTCAATTTTCTGTCTGAAAAAGGCACACACACACATTCACTGACTAGTTTATTAATATAATGACTATGCAAATTGTTGACTCAGTAGGGTAATCCAGCTCTGCTCACAGTTAATCCACTCTTTTTTTTTTTTTTTTTTAAATATATATATATATATATATATATATATATATATATATGCATTAATCTTTCAAGTCTGAGGTGTTGAATTGGTTGTCTTTGCAATAGGTTGTGTGTGTGTGTGCTCCAACTACCTGAGTATGCTGACCTCTTCTTTGGTCCCTGAAGAGCTGCTATCAGCAGCAGAGGCCTGCTGCTTCTTTAGAGACTCCAGCTCCAGCTCCACCTGCACAGACAGAAGAAGATGGGCCTGCTGCACTAACATCACATCACCTTTGGCTGTGTGCCTTGCACAAACCTTTTGGCTGCAGATAGAGCCCGAGGACTCTATTCCGGTGTGCTTGCTATCTTTTCGAGACAGGCATCCAGACAAACGGCTATATCATTTGTACACCATTAGCAAAACAGACTCATTTTCCATTTTACAATGTCACAATCTTTTTCCCCTAGTGCTTTTTTTTAAGTCTGTAGTTTTCGCCCCAATCTCACTCTCCTGTCTGCAATTAGCCCTCATTTCCATTTGCACAGACATTTTCCTCTTTTTTCAGAGAGCATCTGTCCGTCTCGCAGCTCATCCTCCCTCCCAGTCTTTACCCGGACATATAGGTAATTACTGCTGTACCAGACAGGAGGATTTCACACGTCAATATTCATTGCCATAGCTATATGTTGATGTCTCCTCGGAAACAAGGAGCCACAAAAAGAAGGGAGATCGTAGAACAAGAGGTAGAATCACAGAGTGTGTAAGAGAGGTTAGGTCATACCTGCCAACTCTTTTCTTTATCCCGTTTTTAGAACATATTTTAACGCAGTCTGCTTTTCTGTAACTCTTCAGTAATCAAACCCTTAATTAAGAAAGATATATATTTTTAAAAGGAAGTAATTATCGAGCTCCAGACCTCGGTGAGCTCTACGGCTGGTGGTTCCAATATCGGTAGCACGGCTTCTTGTCACCTGTCAATTAGCGTCACTTCAGACAGAATGAGAGAGGAGGTGGTACTCAACGCAGGAGAGCTACTGTACTAATACCATAAATACAAATCCAGATGGTAAATAATGAAAAGGTCTACGGGACCAACTTCATTGTTTGGCACACTGGAAAAAATCCTGTTCGTCAGCACGTTAGTCACAGACGTATTCAAGCGTCTTTGAGTCACAGATACAAATATACCTGCCAGGATTACAGTTGTGACTAAAAAGGAACCCGTGACAGCTTGAGCGCGAATGGCTGAGGTTTACAATGACTAATCATGAAGTACTAATTAAGATTTCTATAGCTTTAATAAACATTTCACTTTTTTGCATCCTTGTTTCTTTTGTTTTTGTTGTTAGTTACTGGTGGAAAACGAATAGAAGTTAATTAGGGTCAAATATGTGAAACAATGTAAGAAAACAATGTATTTTGTCTGTAACTCACAGAACAAAAAGCTACAAATCGCAAGCGTGGGAGTGTGTGTGTGTGTGTGTGTGTGTGCATGTATACTTACAGTTTGCAGCTGCAGTTTTAAAGTCCCCGTCTCCTCCTGTGCTTTGGTCAGCTGGGCCTGAAGCAAAGGACAAAACAAAGGGAAAAAATATAAATACAAAACTAGAATTACCGCCTCGTGGTTGTAAGCCTCCGCAAACCAGTCATGTTGCAGTTTACATCTATGTCTATCCAAAATCATCATCATTATATCTTATTTGAAATTTGTGTGAAATTGTCATAATTAGCATTTCTTGCATTATGGCAAAGAATGTGTGTTCTGAGGTCACAGAGACCTCTGTCCACCAGATTCTTATCAGTTCATCTTCGATTCCAAGAGGATGCCTGTGCCACATCTAAATAAAACCTCTCAAGGCAGAATGGGATGGACTTAAGGTCACAGTGACATTGAACTCTGACCACCAGATTCTTATCAGTTCCTCCTTGTGTCGAGGTGGACGCTTGTGCCACAATTTTGAAGAAATTCTCTTTAGGCATTTCTGAGAGGTCCACAAGAACGGACCAGATGGACGGACAGACGGACGGACAGACAACCTAAAAACATAATGCCTCCGGCCACAACTGTCCTCAGCCGTAAGCCATAAAACTGAAAGATGGCTTCCTGTCCTTATCCCACCGAGATACAGTATTGACAGAAACAGAGGATCTGAAAGGGAACAGAGGCAGCGGCATATACCATATATTTTTCCAAAGTGTGAACTTGATTCAGTTTTGAGACAGTAACACTCTAGCCTTCTCACATTTCGTTCCAGTGTCACTCACAGTGCCCCCCCCCCCCACCACAAGTGCCGTTTTATCGGTTTTCAGCACAGATATGTCAATTTGTCCACTAAGCAAGAGCACCGAGCGTGTCGACAAGGAGCGGCTGAGTGCCACACATTTACAGTGCCTTTAGCTGTGAGCAAAAAACGGCGACGCTAAATAAACTGTCCGGCAGCTTGGAGGTGCATAAATGAGTGCTTCACATTCAAATTTGTTCCAGGATACTCTAAATGCATGTGGTGTTTTTGTGTATGCACAAGCCCACACACACACACACACCTCCATCTCTGCGTTGTGGTTCTGGGTCCTCTGCAGCACTTCCTCTGCCTCTCTGAGGCGTTTGCTGAGTTGTGGAGAGTACTCAGTGGGTGCCAGCGCGCTGTCATAGGACTCCAGTATGGCACGCATTCCATCACGCTCCTGTAACACACACACACACACACACACACACTAACATAACACGACAAAAAGGAAATCCTGCAGTACACTTAACTCATTTCCATGGAGCCGAGGAGGAAGAAAGTCATGGCTCAGCAGTCTGTTTTGCTATCAGATATGTAATGTTTGCATGTAACAGAGTGAGTGAGATGAGAATACCAAAGCTCTTTGATGTTTTTCGGATTTGTCTGCGTTGAGTTTGCATGTTTGGTGTGTTAATATGACGGGCAAATGCCTTTGTAAATGAGGAACAAAGCACGAGGCAGCTGCTCCTTTCTCCTCCAAGCTGTGACAAGAGAAGCTTCGGGTTGCGGTCGTGAAAAGACAAAAGTCTTGAAAGATAAAAAAGGATACATAATGAATTTTAAATAAAATCAGACAGTCATAACAGAGAAGCATATGATATCACGCTGCCTCATCTCTCCGATACAAGACGAGGTCATTCAAAAATAATTAAAAATCGACATAATTCTTTCCTCTAAAATACTTGAATGAAAGACGTGTCCTCAACATTGTCTGTCCAGTTCATCAACACATCAAGCAGGTGCATCTCTTCAAGAGAAAACATCCTCACTCCGGCTGTCATTACACTTTCTAAAAGCACTTTGAATAACTAGTCTGCTGTGCTCTACTTGTTAATATATGTTAATTTGGAGTTTGAGGAAAAAGGAAAAGTGCATACTGTACCTTATATTTTACTGAGTTAATGTACACATTAATGAAGCAACAATGGTATCAGCCTCGGGTTAATCATCTGTGACACTTTGAAACACCATTTAGTGATTAACATTAATTTCAAAAATGGCACAATCCGTCTGAAGAATGTAGCTGACGCAACATTTTAACTTGTAACAGTAACAAATGATTACTGCGTTACGGAGTAAATGTGTACTGGTTGGCCGGCAACATGATGAGAGAGAAGTAATACGTTTAAAAACTGGCAAACAGCCCGTTTATCGATGCAAAGTCAACGTCAGTCAAGCCCGTTGTGTAATGGTGCGTCTCCTCCCCTCCCTTCATCATAAAGCGAAGCCGGGCTGCTTAGGAGCATCCTTGAAGTCTGAGGGTCAATGAAAGCTCAGTAGTCGATTATTAACAGGGCTAATGTGGGGGACGTTTATGAGACTCGGGTTGAAGTCAAGGTAATAAAACAGTGAGTACCATTTCAGATAACTACCATTTCAGATAACTGCATCTAATATATGTTGATTGCCGAGTAACGCTGTCTTTTTTTAAAAAACGGCTTGTAATTCCTGGTTGTAACATCTATGAATAATGGACTGCAATTTCTCTGTCAGATTAGCTCACAGGCTTGTATCTGAAAACAAAACACGATTACCCTAATCAGATTCTGCCTGTGATGAGCCAAGATCCAAACCAACGTAATCACTTTAAAGATGACTGAGTCGGGTTCATTTAAAAACACTATATGGGAAATCACGCTTAATTCAACTTTATTAGTTTTGGCTCCGAAGCAGCATGGTTCGTCATGCAACATTTCCTGATGCATCCTCGGAGAACCTTCCGGAAGGGAGAGAAGAAGAAGACAGACCGAACAGAAGTCAAAATGGTACAAACACATTTAGAGGTCAGTGTGTATGCTGCCAATCTGAACCAGCACAGCCCTCTGGCTATTTACGGTCTATTAACGTGCAATGAAATTCAGCCAATCTAAATCAAAAATCTGTCGACTCCTCTCCGATAAAAACTCTAATTTTAGAAAACAAACAAACAGGGCGCGGGGAGGACAGGGCGATAAAACCATCGTTACCGTTTTCATCATCTATTTTCTTTTTTTGGAAATTGCTTTTATGTCGACTGTTTTATCTGGTGCGTGAAGATGTGACAGTGCCTCTAATGGGTCAGCGAGTCTGTCCCGCTGAAGGATGTTTAGAAGAAAACATCCGAGTGGGGCAAACGGCAGCGTAAAGGAGTCAGAGCCTTGTGGCAGAGAGGGAAGGATGACATTCGTCCTCTTCTCCGCTTCCTTAACAACCTGCTGTCAAAATGCGGCTGAGCAAGGCACTCGATCATCATTGATTCGTGAGCCAAAGTGTGGCTACAGTCATTCACACAGGTGGAGTGGTGGGACACCTACCAGATTCATTCATTCATGTTGTTGTTATTGCACAATGTAGATAAAGAGGTTACTTTGATTCAGAAAGCAACGATGATGAGGGCTTCGGGTGTGTTATGTTATAATAATAAAAGCATTGATTGGTTGCAGCCCTACCAAATTAAATTACATTAGTGAGAACCAAAAATTAAGAATATAAGACTAAATATACTTAAGGCATTAATATACTCAGCTATCGTCGTTAAATCTAATGTAACTTTAAAAACATTTTGCGGGTTAGAGCAAAAAATCATGAGCAAGGGGTCAAAGTTTTAAGAAGCACAGCAACAGATATTTTCCTTCAGTCCATCGAGACCGGATGGTTAAAAACCTCTGAGTGCTTGGTTAAGTGAAAATGGTAGCAGGCGGTCTCAGGCGGAGTCATATTTTAGCTCCGCTTAGTTATGGTGGTGCCTCAGAGTGTGTGTGTGTGTGTGTGATTTGTGTACTAACAGACTGAGCATGTTAACCTCGGGAATTACACACAGTGAGAAATCAATATCACAGGGAGGTCTAGTCAGGAACTGCAGAGCAGGGGGAAGCAAGATAGATAGATGAGGCATATGACTTCCATCGACCAATCAGAAGGTGGGGTGTGGGGGGGGGGGTAAAGGGTGGATTAGGAATTCAATGCTGCCCTTGAGATTCAAGGGCCTTCATGGTCCCCGAGTGAACCCGAAGACGATAAATTGTATCATGAAGAAAAACGCCACTTTTCTTCCGATTGGTCTTCAGTCTTGAAATCTGATACGTACACACTTTGTGCAAATATCTAACAATACACCTTTTACACTGCATGTGTGTGCATATCTTATATAACTCGTTATGAATTCATAAACACCAAATACTTGATGGTGCTTCTTGTAGTTTCCGAGTCATTTTCTTACAGTACAATATTAGTCTTTGGGCAGATGGAACTAATGTATTTTAATGAAATATAAAATAAAGAATGATGAAGATTCAAAATTCCAGGCACAGATGAGTTAAAAGGGAAGTTCTGGCATTGTGTGACGGTGGAAACATTGTGTCGCCAGCGTTTGAATGCTCGTTAATGTGTCTGCATGTCTGGGTTTTGTTGTCGTTTGTGTTTGTCACTGACGGTCGGTCACCTTGGTTAACAGCAGCACTCTCTTCTGTAGCCGGCGGACCAGAGCGTCCTGCGCCTCCCTCTTCTTCTGCTCCTCCAGAGCCTTGCTGCGCTGCTGGGACAGCTCTGCCCGGAGCTCGGCCTGCAAACGCTCGGCGCTCCTCACGCTGACGCACCGGGAGAAATGGCCGGGTGGAAAGAGGAGGAGAGGGGGGGGGTAAATAACAGGTGGCAGGGAACACAGGTCGCTTGGTGCCGAATGTTCAGACGAGCCGAGAGAATTAATTCATAGTCAATTTAGAACAATACTGCTCACCGAATAATTCCCGGACGACCGTCCAGAAATTATTTGCAGCAGCGACTTGCGACAGGTCTGATCGATAGGACAATAATTATAAAACACGCTCCCCTCATCCCCTCCCGGCGCTCTCCCATTCTGCCGTTTCTAATATTTCATAATGAGCCCAAATACGCTGAGCAGAAGAGAGACGCTTGTTAGCTAATGAACGCTTTCTTAGCTGGACTGAGCTGCAGCACGAATAGACCCGACCATGCGCGCAGCATTCCCTACAGACATCACCTCTGCCTAAACAGGACAAGTTTAATTAATGAATTCCCTCTCTCTCACTCACAATCCTTCTCTCACACACACACACACACACACACACACACACACACACACGCACACACACACACACACCAGTGGTTACTGTCAGGAGTGCTATCAGAATCAGGACCAGTTTAATTAACTTTGTGACAATTAAGGACTTCTCAGAGATACGCTCTAACAGATACATGGGGGGGGAGGGAGGCCGAGGGAGTGAGAGGTTGAGGAAAAAGTCTGAAGGCAGAGAGGACAGAGATTTTGTGTGCGTGTGAAGAAGTGTGTGTGTGTGTTACCGGCTGTTGAGTGTGTAGTTCTGCTCTTTCAGAGAAATTTCTATCTGCTGGATCTGAATCACCTCCCTGGACAGATCCTCTGGTTTCCTACGGAGAGACGCACACAGGACAGTTAGCATACACACGTGTACCCGCGGACACACACAATGGAAAATCAATAGGACTGACAGTGCAGCAAAGGACGGAGAATAGATGGAAGCGGCGTCGCTTTCATATTCTTTTGTTACTCGGCCAGTGGGGAGCTGGGAAAGAAAATGACACAAGCAGCAGAGGGGGAGATGAGAGGAGGATAGTGGGCTAAATACTGGTCACAGTTCTGCAAAACAAACTCACTCTGTGGGAGAGATTGACAGATTACAACACACACACACACACACGCACACACATGCAATGGGAAGGCAACAAAGCAGAAGGTCACATACTTCAACAGAGCCACACAACCTCCAAACTCTAAAACCCTGGCCATTACTATGGATCGGTCCAAAACAAAAAAAAAAAAAAGAAAAAAAAAAAAAAGCGGATGCCATTATCTCTTCATCTCTTGTGAAATGGGCGTACATTAGGGGAGCTTAGCTTCGCGCAAAAGCACACCGTAGCCGCCGGCTCGCAGTTCAAATGACACACCTGAGAAAGTGATGCAGCTCGACATCATGAGAGTGGGAGTGCTCATGAAGGCAAGAGACATTTAGTTACATTGCTTTTTATTCCAGCATGTCATCAAACTTTAGCTTTCACTAGAGACCATCAGTAACCTGACACCTGGTATCATGAGATATAGATAGATAGATAGATAGATAGATAGATAGATAGATATTCTATTTATCATCTTCAAATTGCTGTTTTTTTCCCCCATCCGACACTCTAAAACAGTTTCTCACCCAAATTCTCTCTTCAGCCGGTGAAAACATTACTGAAAAAGGAAATCCATTTCCAGAAAACCTTCACCAATATTTTCATCGCCTGTCCCTTCAATTTTTGCTCCACTTAACAGCCTCCTTTTAAGAAAAATATTTCCATCACGCTGACATTCAATTGTCAGCCACATGGGTACACACGCAAGCAAGCACAATGTTATCAGACTGGGGAACAGAAGGAAAGGAAATACACACCAGCAACCGGCCGACTGCTGGCAAATGCAAGCTGCGGCTGTGAGGCAGCCACAGTGACTGTTGCTGGGGAGGGTTCACTTCTGTCCAAAAGTTAGCTTTCCGTGCGGCAAAAACGGAACAAAATGGCCAAATCCTGTGTTGCAGGAGATGAACGGCACCAATGTGTTCACTCCTCATTAACAACCGCTCCACTACATATTCTTTTCACACCACTAATGACCAGCACCAACTGCCTGCTGACACAAAGAGAGTTATATGTAAACTAAAAGCAAAAACAAAGTATGAAGCATCAGCAGCAGCAGCTTGCAGTTATGAGAAATTACCAAATCAATAACACAAAATGCCGGACGCCCTAATGCGATATCTCACATGTAATGACGGAACAAGAAGCAGCGTGAACATGGGCTCTAAGACGAGGCTTTGTGTTGATCAGTGTTGGTTCAGACGCTGCTTCACTGCTGGCGATGTCTCTGTGGCGTTATCGTAGCGCTCCACTGTCATTCATTTGCTTTTCTATTGAAATCATTTTTAACTCCAAAAAGCAGCATGACGACATAAATCCAGATTCAATTTCACTTACGCCGCCATTCTTTAACTTTCTCACAGAAACACATGAAGCGTACGCACCTGAAAAGATTCAGCACATTACAAATGATGATAATAACGTCTGCTTTAACAGCCTCGAAGGCGATCGCAGTGTGCCACTAATGCAGAAATCAGAGAGGCGGTACTCGTGCAGTGTTGTACGAGGTGAACTAAAGGTGAACAGACTAAATGAAACACTCTTGCTTTCCATTTTGGCTCCACATCCCAGGAAAACAACATCCTGACAATTAAGTTGGCCATTTAGTGAACAGTAAAAACAGCTGGATGGAGTTTCTAACTGTTGATTTGCAAGCTGCATTAACCTTTACTTTTGATCAGTATGAGCCTCACACATGTGGCTCCCCTTTAGAAGCCGTATGTACAATGCAGTCTTTTTTTTTTTGTTTGTTGGTTTTTCAGCTACAGCACTCAGGAAGCCAATGACATGGCAGTCTGAACACCTGAATTTTCAGGAGGGTTTCAAATTCTCAACTCAATTTACCCAGGGTGACAGCCTCGTCTGACATACGATTTTCAGAAAAATGATGGACAGCCCAGCCAAATTATTATATACTACTATATTAAACTGAGATTGGTATTACCTTCCTGTGATCCTTCCAGCTCTCTTAATAACTGTAAATTTACCAAACGCCATCGGGTCCCTTGACACATTGAGTAGGACCAAAATGAAACCTTACATGAGGAAATATTTCATTTCATAATTCTTTTACAATACTTCTACCTTTTTCTTCCTACCCTGGAGGAAGATGTGTGACTGACACACACACACACACGACCGGATATGCTGTGTGGAAATGGTTCCATTTAACATTCTGTTTACATCGCAGCCAGAGTTAATCATCATGAAAATGGTGATCGTGCACGTGTGCATGCATGCATGCGATGGACAAGGCTGCAGTGTTTATAATCTGTCAGATCTGCTCTGCTGCTCACAGGGAAACACGCAATGATTCTCTCATTACCAGTTTACACACACACACACAGGCTGGTGGAATCAATCCACAGTGATGAGGCACATTTATTTGGAGTGACCACAGCTCCACCTAGTGGTACTCAATCAGATTTCATAAATAAATATATACTGATAAAACCAAACACACATCTGCCGCTGTTTTTCTGCCACACACACACACACACACACACACACACACACACACACACACACAC